GAGTGGCCAAAATTGTGGAAACCTTTTGGGAAAAGTGTATTTTTGAGGTTTGATGGCTAATAACACCATTTTTTGGGGGGAGTTTCAACATAATCCTATTCCACTGCTGGAATGGCCTGGGAATAGCCCAGACCTTCTTAACCCAATTGAAAATCTATGGAGCCGACTAAAGAAACTTGTTAGTCAGAAGCAACCCAGCAATCAAACCCAGTTAACAGAAGCCATCATTCAATCTTGGTTTCACATTATAACAGCTGCAGAACTAAAAGACTTGATTCACTCCATGGGAAGACTTTGTAAATCTGTAATTCATGCTAAAAGTTACCCAACTAAGTATTAACTGACATGGGGATCATTTTTGTATATCTCGTTTTTTCTACGTCTTTCACTTGTCTTCTTTATACTGTAAATAATATTCTAACAGCAAATCCTTCATAAAAGTTATGGCATTACATTCTTGATTAAATTATCTTTCCATTGATATATAATTGTATGGTACTACTGCAAAAAAAAAAAAAAGTGATTAGCTAGTTTTAGAAAATACACTTTTCCCAAAAGGTTTCCACAATTTTGGTCACTACTGTATGTCTAGTTTAATGAAAAGAAGGACTAGGGGTGACACGATAGCAATCTTCCAATATCTGAGGGGCTGCCCCAAAGAAGAGGGGGTCAAGCTATTCTCTAAAGCATTTCAAGGCAGAAAAAGAAAACAGATGAAAACCAATTAAGGAGAGAAGCAACCTGGAATTAAGGAGAAACTTCCTAACATTGAGGACAATTAACCAGTGGAACTACCTGCCTCCAGAAGTTATGGGTGCTCCATCACTGGGGGCTTTTAAGAAGAGACCAGAGAGCCATTTGTCTGAAATGGTTTTGGATTTCCTGACTGAGAAGAGCAGGATAACAAACAATGGATGGAAACTAATCAAGGAGAGAAATAACCTGGAATTAAGGAGATTAAATTTCCTAACAATAATGGTACATATAGAATCTCCTGCTTGAGCAGGGGGCTGGACTAGAGGACCTCTAAGGTTCCTTCCAGCTCTATTTTGATTCTGAAATGCCACCAGGGTCGCTTCCAACTCTGTTGTTCGATTCAAGAAAGAAAATAAACCATTTAAACTATTTTAAATAAACTATTTAAAACTTTTTTGAAATAAATTTTTAAATAAAAGTTTTTAAACTTTTTTTAAATAAACTGTTTAAAAAAATTAATAATTGTACCATTTTGAATAGATTTTAACTTTCAATACCAAACCACAAAATTCAACTGTTTCCCTTTCCAATAAATAATAATAATAATAATAATAATAATAATAATAATAATAATAAGGATTCAGACTGACAGGCACTTGGTCCACAACACACCTGACATAACAATAGTTGAAAAGAAAAAAGTATGGTTCATTGATATTGCAATACCTGGTGATGCACGGATTGAAGATAAGCAGCAAGAAAAAAATCACAAAGTACCGGGATTTGCAAATTGAAATTGAGCAACTGTGGAAAAAGAAATCGTGTGTTGTCCCGATTGTAATTGGAGCCCTTGGAGCAATACCCAAAGGGCTACCCCGCTATTTAGAAATCCTAAATTTGCCGGACTTGGACATTTTGACTCTACAAAAAACCACCTTACTCGGAACAGCTTACATCCTCCGACGATACCTTAACAGTTCCTAGGTCCTTGGTTAGGACTCGAGCTGCTGAGCTATTAACCAGCCTCAAAGGCTGTGAATCTCACTAAAGATTAACCAATAAATAATAATAATAATAATAATAATAATAATAATAATAATAGGTACCCAGTTTTGCTTCAGGCTGTGGGCTGCACCCAAAAGAGGAAATGGGACACAGGAGGAAAACTAAATGGGATTTATTGAGAAGACTGCAAATTTAAGAAAATGTTTCCCAAATATACAAGGTACCCATGTCTGAAATTTCAGGAGTCAAGACGCATGGGAAAAATTGGTTTTTGAAAAAGGAATTAAGTTGTTAACAATGTTTGGGAGCCTTATCAGCATCATTTAAAGTTTTATACAGGTAGTCCTCGATTTACGACCACAATTGAGCCCAAAATTTCTGTGGCTAAGCAAGACAATTGTTAAGCGGGTTTTGCCCCATTTTACGACCTTCCTTGCCAGAGTTGTTAAGTGAATCACCGCAGCTGTTAAGTGAGTAACAGGTTTGCTAAGTGAATCTGGCTTCCCCGTTGACTTTGCTTGTCAGAAGGTCGCAAAAGCGGATCATGTGAGCCTGGGACACAACCGTCATAAAGGTGAGCCAATTGCCAAGCAACTGAATTTTGATCCCACGACCATGGGGAATGCCACAATGGTCGTAAGTGTGCAAAACGGTTATAAATCCCTTTTTTCAGTCCCGTTGAAACTGAATGGTCACTAAATGAATTTGAGTGTTATAAGTCGAGGACTCTCTGCATTGTGATTGACGGCATTCCAAACCGTCAAAAGTTGCTTGATAGCAAGATGGGAGACATCTCAAATTTAACCAAATAAAAGGTATTCAAACTTCTCAACAGAGAAATTTTTTAAAAAATTTCTGTATAAATTTTTAAAAAAATTTATAATTTTTTTAATAAAAAATAATATAAAAAATATTATTTTTAAAATAAAATATAAGACAAAACTAAATCAAGTTTAGCTCCTACTGGGCTCATCAGTAACTACTAAACCTGTTTGGGACACAATTAACATTGCTAATTTCTGGGCACGATGTGTTTAATTTATACACATTTTAATCTTGTCATTTTATATTTTAAATGTATGTCCTATATAGCAGGCCTTATTTTAATTGTGACGCTCCGGACAGAAATAAACCAGCCAACGAGTTTGGCAACCTTAACAGTTTTAAGATATACATAATTTCAGGATCCAAATGCTCAACGAGGGGAAGCAGAAAGGAGCGAGCTACTCTCAGATAGACTACTCTTCCAAAGGAGGCTTTGGAAACAGGAGATGCCTTCGGAAGTTGTGGGAGCTTCACCTCTGGAGGCTTTCAAGAAGAGACAGGACTGCCATTTGTCAGAAACGGTGTAGGGCAGGGGTCCCCAAACTTGGCAGCTTTAAGACTTGTGGACTTCAACTCCCAGAATTCTCCAGCCAGCTGGCTGGAGAATTCTGGGAGTTGAAGTCCACAAGTCTTAAAGCTGCTAAGTTTGAAGACCTCTGGTGTAGGGTCTCCTGCTTGGGTGGGGGGTTGGACTAGATGACCTACAAGGTCCCTTCCAACTCTGATAATCCGTAATCTGAAAGCAGCCGATTTTTAAACGCCTCCCCAGCTCATACGACTGTGTCATTGCTAGGAGTCAACACCCACTGGAGGACACGTGTCTAATCCATCCATTCATGCAGCCACTGCAACGAGCCAATTTAAAAGCACCAAATTTATTTATTAAAAGTTATTGTTTTTTTTTTTAAGACCTCTATTTAAACAACTCTTTGCAGGCACCAGCCAGAGCGTTTTAAAAACCTTGCAAGGTTTTAGAACCAGGATGGGGATTAATTGATTTAAACCACGAACAGACCACGAAGGGACCCGCCCACCGCACTCACGCGTGGAAATCACAGCTGCCGGAGAGGGAGAGAGAGAAATCTGGAGAGAAAGGGAGAAAGAGAGGGAGAAAGAAAAAGGGAGAAGGAGAAAGAGGGAAAAAAGGGAAGAGGACAGAGGGAGAGAAAGAGGGAAAGGGAAGGAAAAACAGGGCGAGAAAGAAAGTGTAAAAGAGAGAGAGGGAGAGAGATCAAAAGGGAGAAGGAGAAAGGGAGAAAGAAGAGGGAGAAAGGGGGGAAAGGAAAAGGGAGAAAGAACTAGAAGGAAAAACGGAGAGAGAAAGAGGGAGGAAAAAAGGGTAAAAGAGATAGAGGGAGAAAGATAAAAAGGGAGAAGGAGAAAGGGAAAAGAAGGGGAAGAAAGAGGAGAAAGAAAAAGGGAAAGAAAGGGGGAGAAAGAACTAGAAGGAAAAACGGAGAGAAAGAGGGAGAAGGAGAAAGAGGGAGAAAGAAGGGGAAGAAAGAGGAGAGAGAGTTAGGGAAAGAAAGGGAGAAAGAACGAGAAGGAGAAAGTGTAAAAGGGATAGAGGGAGAAAGATAAGGGAGAAGGAGAAAGGTAGAAAGAAGGGGAAGAAAGAGGAGAGAGAGAAAGGGAAAGAAAGGGGGAGAAAGAACTAGAAGAAAAAACGGAGAGAAAGAGGGAGAAGAAGAAAGAGGGAGAAAGAAAGTGTAAAAGAGAGCGTGAGGGAGAAAGAAAGGGAAAAGGGGAGAAGGAGAAAGAGGGAGAAAGAAGGGGAAGAAAGAGGAGAGTGAGTTAGGGAAAGAAAGAGGGAGAAAGAATGAGGAGAAAAAAGTGTAAAAGAGATAGAGGGAGAAAGATAAGGGAGAAGGAGAAAGTAGAAAGAAGGGGAAGAAAGAGGGAGAGAGAGAGAGGAAAGAAAGGGGGAGGGAGAAAGAAGAAAAAACGAAAGAAAGAGGAGAGAAAAAAAGAAAAGAAAAAAAGAAAGAAGAAAGAGAAAAAGAGAGAAAGAAAGAAAAAGAAAGGGAAAAGGGGAGAGGGAAGAAAAGAAAGAAGAAGGAGAAAAGAGAGGAGAGAAAGAGAGAGAAAGAAGAAAGAAAAGAGGAGAAAAAAAAAGAAGAGAAAAAAAGAAAGAAAAGATAAAAGAAAAAAAGAAGGAGAAAGAGAAGAGAAAGAAAGAAAGAAAGAAGAGAGAGAGAGAAAAAGGGAAAAAAAAAGAAATGAGGGAAAAAGAAAAAAAAAAAAAGGGAGAAAAAGAAAGAGAAAGAAAAGAGGAAGGAGAAAGAAAAAGAAAAGAAAGAAAGAAAGAAAAGAGAAGAGAGAGAGGAAAAAAGAGAAAGAGTAAGAAAGAGAATAAAAAGAGAGGTAGGACGAGGGAGAAACAGAGAGAAAGAGAAAGAAAGGAGGGAGAGAGGGAGAGAAAGAAGGAGAGAGAGAAACGAAGAAAGAGAGAAAAACGCAGTTCTCCAACTTACCCGAGACCGAAGTAAAGACTCACTTTCACAAATGGCGCAGCCACGCCCCCGCTTCGCAGCTGGCCTCCTTTTATACTCCGGAGTGACTGCCCTTTGTTGCTGGAGGCAATCAGGAGCAAGCAGGCATCACGTGCACGTCGGAATGTGGGCCGGCTCAGGAGTTGGGGAAGGGGGCCGACCTCTTTTCCCGAAGCCTCTCTTTTTGGGGTTTTTCTTTTCTTTTAAACCATCCTATGACGTCTTTTTTCTGAAAGTGGAGGATCGACTCCGCTTTCTCGTGTAAACGGCGCCGGAAAGGGGCAAATTCGGAGCGGAGGGCAGGAAAGTTTGGAAAGTTGGGTTTGGGGGAATCTTTCTCTCTCCCCACTCCCCAAGTGGGAAGAAAACTGGTCCTCTGGGTCTTGGGGTAAAAAGATCGGGTCCTCCTTGCTAATCCGGAGTGAATTCGGATTGAAAGATGCCACACAAACACATACCCCAGCTCGGAGCATTTCCACTTTCTATTATTATTATTTTTTTTCTCTCGTGAAAATGTTTATTTATTTATTTATTTATTATTCAAACTTCTATACCGCCCTTCTCCTTTCGGACTCAGGGCAGTGAACAGCCAAAATAAAAACATTTATACATTTATTTATTTATTTGTTTCCATTTCTGTACCGCCCTTCTCCAAATAGGACTCAGGGCGGTGAACAGCCAAAGTAAAAAACAGGACATACAAAATTTAAAAACAGTTTAAAATAATTAAATATTTTGGCCGTAAATTAAAACAACCCAATTTAAAATCAATTTAAAATTTAACTCAAGCCAACATAAAGTTACAGTTAAAAAATAGATTTAAAATAATTAAATAAATTTGGCCCCGTAATTTAAAACTTATCAATTTAAAATCCGTATCAAATTTTAAAACCAACCCTAAAATCAAGACAGACCGGCTAACTGAAAAAAATAAGTTTTTAGGGCCCGACGAAAAGTCCGGAGGTCGGAGATCACTCGTATCTCTGGGGGTAGATTGTTCCAAAGGGTAGGTGCCACCACAGAGAAGGCTCTCCTCCTGGGGGTCGCCAGCCGGCATTGTTTATTTATTGTTAAATGTTAGTTTATTCCAAAGAAAGATTAAAATACAAAAGGTCAAAATATTTTTTTGAAAAAACAAACAAAGAAACAAAAAAAGAAACAAAAAAAAGACGCTTTTGCACTTTTATATGAAAAGGAAAGTCAATTCGGGCACCTTCAGGGATTGGGTTCAGTAATAAGAGTTGGAAGGGACCTTGGAGGTCATTTAGTCCAACCCCCTGTTCACGCAGGAGAACTTGTACGAGGGATTTGAACCGCCGAACCACGGACCTTTCTGATCGACAAGCTCAGTGTCTTAGCCACTGAGCCACCTAGTCAGGCTCAATTAATTGATTATTAATTAATCAATTAATCCAGCCAGTTTGGGCTACCTCCAGGGATCTTGCAGTGCGATTCCTCGGAGCTGATTTCTCAATGAAATAAATATAATTTATCTCTTGGATGAGCCTCCTAATAAAGATGGGAAAAAAAGAAAGAAAAGACACGGGATCGAAATGTTAAGGCGGATTTACCCAGAAGTAGCTGCGTTACGAAACCAGCTTTTTTTTTTTTTGCACGATTCCTTTTGTGGCTTGTTTGCAAACCTCTGGAGTGAATCAGGAGGGTAGAGAATCGTTTTCCAGTAAAAAATTAATAATAATAATAATAATAATAATAATAATAATAATAATAATAATAATAGATTTCCTAGAAAGTGATTCAGGTTTGTGGTTAATCTGTTGCGATGTTCTTGGGCAGGATTGTTTCATTTTTTTGTAGCATTTTATCTTGGCAACAGATGGGAAGTGGCTTGCCTGTAGCAAAGGCAGGAAGCTATAGATTACAAATACAGGTAGTCCTCGCTTTATGACCACAATCATCATCAATTTTTAATGACCCCATATCCCTTGAGGGGTTGGAGTCTGGGCAACTGAACAGAGCTAGCAGAGTGTTTTAATGGCTGGATGCCTTTCTTGTCGCCGATGCGGAGTTTTGTTCAGCCAGATACATTCTCGGTGTGTCCTTAGGACCACAACGGAGGCCAAAATTTTTGCTGCTAAGCAACATGGTTGTTAAGTGAGTTTTGCTCCATTTTGCGACCTTTCTTTGCCACGCTTGTTGAAGGAGTCGCTGCAGTCGTTAAATTAGTAACACGGTTGTTAAGTGAATCTGGCTTCCCCATTGCTGATCAGAAGGTCACAAAAGAGGATCACGTGATCCCGGGACACTACAGCCATCATAAATATGAGCCAGTTGCTAAACATGTCAATTTTGATAGCGTGACCATGGAGTGGTTGTAAGTATGCAATGGTTGTAAGTATGAAATTAGTCACTTTTTTCAGTGCCGTAGTAACTTTGAACGGTCACTAAATGAACTGTTGTAAGTCGAGGACTACCTGTAATGGAGAATATGTGACATACCGGTATTATTATTGGGGCAGCATAACCCTTTGGGGAATAATGTCCAGGATCTGCTGTTTTTTCCCTTCACTTTTTAATATCTTGTTTTTCTTTCCAGTTTTTAAAAGTTCATCCAGATTTGTCTGGGGAATTCTGGGAGTCGAAGTCCGTAGCTGGTGGCTGGGGAATTCTGGGAGTTGAAGTCTGTAGCTGGTGGCTGGGGAATTCTGGGAGTTGAAGTCCATAGTTGCTGACTGGGGAATTCTGGGAGTTGAAGTCTACATATCTTAAAGTTGACATAATTGAAAAACACTATCCTAGATGCTTTTAACTCATAGCCCTGGGATCTCCTGGTGGTCCCTCTTCCAAACATTTAAAAGGCCAACCTTGCTTAGATCCTGGACTAAAAGTCTGCCAGATGCTACCGACTCCCGCCAATAGCTGCTAGGGTTTTTTTTTTAAGTTTTATTATATATAAGAAATTCCATTTCTAAATAAACAGTGTTTTGTCTGTGTACAAATAATTTTGAGAGATAATCATATTTACAAAAATATTCATCCCATTGGTATTGATCTCATAATAATCTATAGTATTTGCTTGTCCATTTTAATAAACCTTGCTTATAAAATTAGTCCTTATTTTTCCATATTTCTAACTCCTGTTTTAATTGGCATGGATAACATGAGTCCCATGTTAAAAAGTATTCAGTTTCTTCCTTTTTCTTAATTTTAAGCGTTAATCTATCCATTTCTGCATAGCTGCTAGTTTTTATTTAGCACAAAAATCTTGAGTTTTTTGATGCCTTGTGTTCCTACTGACGATAGGATAAAAATTACCCAGTTGTTAAAATGCAACCCAACATAATTCATAGCGAGACCAACCTAAAAAGGTAATTAAAGCCTTTGAAATAAGACTGTAAAGATTTTTTAAAAAGGTATAGAGGATGAACATAACAATCTGTGTCCAGAAATCAATCTTGACTCTTTGATTTGATTTTTTTGGGGGGGGGGGTCTCTCTTCAGAATCGGGATGGGACACCACCAGGTGATCCCACGACTGCGGCGCTGACTGGGAATTTTAAAAATCGTATTAAAAAGCAACAATAAATTTTGTGGTTGCTGAATTCATGAGATGGATGTGGGCTCAGAAAGTTGCAAAGTCATTTTTGTTGGAAAGAAAATTTTATCTGTTTTGTGTTACCTGGGATTAACCTGGGTGCTTCTGTGTATATTTTGGCTATCAGATGATTATAAGGGGGGGGGGTCCCTGGTGACCTTGGTGGGGGGGAGTCTCTGAAGTATGTGAAATTCCTTCAGGGTGTGATTGTGACTCACTTGCCCAAATAAGTAAAGTTCAGCTTTCTCTGGGCTAAAATTCAACCCGGCTTCAAGGTTTGTAACTGCATGATCGCATTTATATTATATACAGGTAGTTCTCGATTTAGAACGGTTCATTTAGTGTCTGTTCGAAGTTGCAACGGAACTGAAAAAAGTGACTTATAACCGTTTTTCACACTTACGACCAACGCAGCATCCCTATGGATATGTGATTAAAATTCAGATGTTTGGCAACTGACTCACATTTATGACGGATGCAGTGTCCTGCAGTCACTTTTGCGACCTTCTGACAAGTAGAGGCCATGGGGAAGCCCGATTCACTTAACAACCGTATTACTAACTTAACAACTACAGTGATTCACTAAACAAAACTGGCAAGAAAAGTTGTAAAATGGGACAAAACTCAGTTAATAAATTTGTCACTTAGCAACATAAATGTTGGGCTCCGTTGTAGTCGTAGGTTGAGGACCAATATACAGGTAGTCCTCGACTTACAACCATTCATTTAGTGACCGAAGTTACAGAGGCACTGGAAAAAGTGTCTTATGACAATTTTTCAAACTTATAACCATTTCAGTATCCGTGATCAAAATTTGGACACTTGGCAATGTACTTATGACAGTTGCAATGTCCTGGGGTCAATGTGATTCACTTTTACGACCTTTTGAGCAGGAAAGTTAATGGGGAAGTCAGATTCACTTAACAACCGTGTCACTAACTTAACAACTGCAGATTCACTTAACAACGGTGGCAAGAAAGATAATAAATGGGGCAAAACTCACTTAACACACATCTCACTTAACAACAGAAATTTTGGGCTCAATTGTGGTCGTAGATCGAGGACTACCTGTATTTAATCTTAATTTTTACAGCTAATATTATTTTCCCAACACACACAAACGTCTACTATTAAATATACAATATAGAGAAAGTCTGTTGAACTCAGGTGGGCTCATTCCTGCGTAAGCATGTACAGAATTTCTCTTTAAACATAGGAGAAAATATACAGTATTTTATGATGAATATTAGTTGATCGTTCTTTTAATTCTGCCCAATAGCTGGTATGCACACAATCAATCGGTAAGAGAAAGGCCTTCCTGCAGGCCTTATTGATATAATTAATAAAAATAAATTAATTAATTAAAAATTAAAAATCCCATTTTTCTTCCCCATTACAGTAATTCTTTAAATTCAGTAGTTTTTATATATTAACCAGCTAGGAACTTCAGGAGAAGATGAAATGGCATATGATAAAACAGAGGCAAGATATGTAGAAATATAATATGTAACACT